ACTTTGGGCAGGAACAGTACACAACGAAGGCATCTGTACTCGGGAATATGGTCTCACAGTACTTCTAGGCATTGGTATATTTTCCACATTAACTGTTCTTCGTGCTATCTCTTTAGTCTTAAGGTGATCACCTATGCTTTCATTCATATTTAATGTACTCAGGAAAAGAACGATGCGTTCAGTATTCAGTATTCAGATTTAGTTCTGTCCGTATTTACAATGCTCATCTTAAGATGGCTCGTTGGGCATTGTCCCGGTCTAACTTCCATGTCAGCTAACTGTGATTAAAGGCAGTTCACGTGGCTTCCAAAACTGTTGAATGAAGGGACCGTAAGTTATACTGTGCTCTTAGTTCATTATTTGAAGAGTTTCTACCTATACGATGCAATATATACGAACATCCTACTTAGCTCCTTGCGTTTATTCGTGCGGAAACAGCATAATGCGTTCATGCCAATTTCTACTGTTGTTTTGGTCCCGTCTTCCGGGTCACTGCTCCTTGGTGTGGTCAGAACTACATGTACTTGCGTGCCGTGTTTTTATTTTCCGGTATTTCTGAACACATTTCTGGACAGCATACCAAAGTCTGACACCCGGGTCTGTGGCCATTGGATATCCAAGTCAAGTCAAAATAAGCTTTATGTACCCGACTGAGCACATTTTCAGCACAGTCTCTCCAATTACTGGAAACCCATTGATCAGTTCCCGTTGGAATTGGTAATAACTCACTACTCAGGACCACTGGCAATAAACACAGACAGCTTCTCAGGAAGCATGTCGAGGTCTAGTGGACACAATGCATCATTAAAGTGGAGCGAGCAGTCGCTTCAGGAAACTCCTGGAAACGCTTCCAGCTGGTTCGGTCCATGGTAGGCAAAAGGCTGACGCTGAGTGAGCGTTTGGATGAAAATGATACCGAACTAATGCACAATCGTCACCGTCGCCTGGTACGTTGGGCGGCGTACTTTGAAGGTTAGTCCAACTGACCAGCAGTACAACAGCCCATTTTTCTTGGTTCACAGTGCTTCCTGGTGCGTGGATGTTTCTATACTGACTGAGGCTAAGATTTCCTAGGAGCTTTGCCTGCTAATGCGTCACATGTCACCTAGTCCAGATGAACTTCCTCCGGTCCTCTTCCATCTTGATGGCCCGGCCCTCATCTGGGAACTGACATCCCCCTTCCATGAGATTTGTGCTACGGAAACCATCCCATCCGACTGGGGATGTCGTACCCGTCTACAAAAGAAGACCGAACTGTTTTCTGTAATCATTTGTGCTAGATCCAAGCTGCTCGCTTCCCAACTCTTGCGCAGTCTCACTTGCGGACGAGAACAACACCTACGTGAAGAAAAAGCTTGATTTCGCCCCGACCTCAATTACTTTTCTCACATCTTTGTGATCCGCCAAATGCTTGATCACCGCCGTATTCTTGCACATTCGAGCCGCGTTTGACTGTTGCCAGAATGGCTCTTTGGCACTTCTTACCGAGGACGGGTGCACCTGAGAAGTATATCAGCACTTTCTGTGCCATTTACTGGTAAACCTCGGGTCGTTTGCTAGTCTATGACCACTTTTGGCCCTCTTCAGCACCACCAGTAGGGTTAGACAGGGTAGCTCAACGTCCTTTCGTGTTAAACGTCACCATCTACGAGATCCTGGAAAGTGCCCTGGAAAACTCTGAGTTCTACGGCGTCGAATTGCTTCCGGGTGACAGCCTCAGGGACTTGGTGTACGCAGATGGTATCGAAGTTATTTGTGAGTCCTCCCAGGCATGCATGCACTACTTAGGCTAAAGATGTCCGCCTGCCGATTTGGCTTGACATTTGCCGCTTGCAGTCGTAAGGTCCTGTTACAAGATTTGCCCAGCGCGTCTCTTTCTCTCACCCCTTCGGGGCATCTGCTGGAAACAGTTTACCAATACATTTACCTTTCGAGTTGTTTTGGTAGTGGCGATTTGACACTTGAAATCTTCTTGCGCATTTCCAAGGCTACAGTAGTTTTGCTAACCCCCGACACCCGTGGCGTCGTCGCGGGCACAGCCTCACTCTGAAGGACTGAGTCTGCAACCCCGAAGTGAGAGTGGTTAGGTTGTATGGCTGCGAGAATTGTTTCGTTTACACAAGTGATGTTCAGTGGTTATCTGGCCTCAATCGCCGTTTCTTTCGGAGCGTTGCAGGTGTTTGAATGCAGTATCACAGCAGTAGTGAGGAGGCTTGTTGGCGAGTTTTAAGATCTGACAAACTACACCAACTGCTTGACAGCATCATTTCACTGCGGAGGCTTCACTAGCTTGGGCACGTCCTTCGCTTGCATACCCAGCGGCTGCCGCGACATGCTGTCTTTGCGTGCGCAGTCGTGAGTTGAAGGCTACGACAAGGAGGCCAAAGTAAAATCTGGATCCAACACGTTGAAGCTCAAAAGTCGAAGCTGGTTGTTGTTGGACGTTCTCAGATCCCTACTTAGGGACCTATAGATTTCAAGCACATCTGGTTGCAAACTCTACTGGATATGGCCAATAGCGCACTTGCTGTGAAACTCTTCTCCAACTGTCCTCCCTTTCAATTTGCTGCCATTCCTCTTATGTGTTGTGACTGCTAATTTGTATTGTGTTAATTGTGTTTATATATATATATATATATATATATATATATATATATATATATAGCCACTGGTAATAACGTAGGAACACAATCTCGCTACAAGGCTCCGGCGTACTGCCGATGTTCTTAGCTCTTGGCTTTGAACCTACTATAAACTTGTCTATGCCTAACTACAAACCGATTATGAGCCATGTATGTTGGGCTCAACCAACTTACACTTAAACTAGGTCTTTTTAATGTGGATAAAATTCATTCCACTTTATTTGCTTTGTTCTGCGTACCTGATAATCGTCTAACTTGCACACGTCGCTCATGCTATTTGTGGTAAATTTGCGTAACTTTATCACGTGTTATTTTTTGGATAACTTTAGGACATTTTTCACTTATCGCGGATTCGCTTATAACCAATTTCATCCATATACTCATTTAGCAATTATTTTTGTCGTCATATACGTTTACTTTATTCGATATCTTTTATTTGATATCGGCATTTCGGATGATTGGCTGTTGTTTGACATCCCAGGTGTGGCTGCGCTTGATGTACATGTTGACAAGGTGCCTATCTGTCTGCTACCCAGTACCTCTTCCATACTGGCTCCAGGAGACAGTTGGTCGTTGCTGAAGGGGACTGCATGCACGGTCCTTGTGGTCGTGCTATGCTGGAAGAGTCTCGAAGATTGGTTCCATGCACTCAGTGTGGAGCGGACTACGGTCCAGCCACCGCCTTGTGTGCACTTGCTTCCCCAAATACAGCGTGCTTGTGTTTGCCTGTGAAGGGAGTTTGGGCCAGCTGCGTTGATGAAACGTGACTCCCGTCCGCATGCCTCCCGGTCTTATTCCTTCGGGTTTACACTGGATATGGGGTGTTTGGATGGAGCCGTGGGTGGTGCAATGCAAGCTATCCATGGTCCCTCTGTAGGCGCAGGCGTCCTGTGTCTGGCCACAGTGATAGGCAAATCCGAAACTGAATGCCGCTAACCGTGTATGTGACTCATACTGAGTTTGATGTTGCCTCTTCAGCGCGGTGGGGCTCCATTGAATCACACAAACCAACTCTTCTTAACCTGGATATAAAGTATTCCAATATATTTGATTTACTCTGTTCTCTTATTCTGTTGCATACTCTGTCAATTTTTCGTGTTTATTTTCCTTCACACTATGTTTCAGTTGTTTCGTATCTTAGGTGTGATGTGAACGTTGACAATGTGCAAACAGCCTCCACTGTGAAACGTTACCGGGTGGGACAGGATATACCGTCTTTGTGACTGTGCTGGAACCAAAGAATGGTTCCATCTGGTGTGGCGTCCCAGCCACCGCCTTGTGTACATCTGGTACGCATGAATCACCAATTCGACTGATTGGAATGCCACTATTGTACCTGTTGAACGAGCGTGGGTCGGCTCTGTTGATGATATTGGCTCCAATCCACACGCCCCCGGTCTTATTCCTTCGGGTTTACAATGGATATGCATGTGTGATAGAGCTATAGGTGGTGCAACGCCAGCCACTCATGGTCTCTCTGTAGAGGCAGGACTCCTGTGGCTGTCCTATGGAGGCCACCGAGACAAGCAAATCCTGAACCGGTTGCTGCCAACCATACTTTTCTGACATTTGGAAGGTTGTATGCGACCATACTGCAGTGCTGTTGTTGCCTGTGTTCTATTCAAAATTAATCCCTTACTTGCACCCTAACTTCCGGTACTTACCGTCTACAATCTGAACGCTATATCAAAAGTTACTCTCCATTCTACTAAAGCTACATGAATTGAAGGACATACTTCTCATATCTTAGCGTCAGAGGATGCCTAAAAACAGTGCAGTCGTTCTTGAGCCATTGTTAGCGCGCCTTCAAATGCTGATTTCATTCGCTTGAAGCGTGCAGGTTGGTGGTTTCACTCATTGCGAAGCACTGTTGTGTCCATTTTCTCGATTTTTAATCGTCTTGCTCTTTTCAGCCCCGCGCTTACTAACCCAACTGTTTTGATAATGTCGTAGTTTATGTTGTATACTTTTGCGTAACTAGTAGGGGAAGTAAGCTGTTTTGAACATGTTTAGTCGATTGAAAAGTAAAGACCATGTTCAGTTGGTTTTATGCTCTATCTGATTCTTGATTGCATCTTCTAATGGTTGCCTAGCAGCAGCACTGAGAGTTAATCAAGCAGCGAGAGACCATCTAAAATGTTTTAGTCTGTACATTTAAGAACCTGTAACTTTGCTATGAGTGCGTCAGCAATAGTTGTCCAGCTGTTTTTACCTACCTGGTCGGATGGCTCTCTTTTAGGTTGTTTTTTTCGAAACATCAAATTGATTCACTTTGTCTGATCCATGAGTTAACTCATCATTTTTCCATACTGCGTTTACTGTTTGTTTGATCAACGTTCCTTCCACTTTTACTTCTAGGAGCGTTGGGGTTGTCACTTACTTCCTACTGACTGGCGTCAGTCCCTTCTGGGGCCAAACCAAAAAGGAAACATTCGCCAACGTTTCCCAACTCCGATTGTCTTTCCCAAAAGAGTTATTCGCGGACATACCTGAAGCTGCCATATCCTTCATTCGACGGTTGTTAGCAAAGGATCCAAAGTATGTTTTCTGTCCATTACTTCCCTGCTTCCATGCCATTTCATTGTTAGCTCTAACCGGTTTCTATGCGGTTGACGTCTGTTTGCAGATTTGTATCTGGATTCATCACACTAACCTACAACGGTAATACACCAATACTTTGGTATCGTTCACATTTTTCATTATCCTATTTATACACATCGGGATTTTACTGAGACACAGAAATTCAGTTCTTCATTTAAATCCCCGTCCAGTCGAAAGCACACAATAACTAACTGCAGTCACACACGATTTGCCACTTGCATACGAATAGATATCCTTATTAAACCAACCTACCAGTTCTACTCGTTGACAACTCTGATGAGAATATTTGCTAACTTGCTTATACTTATACTATCACTCAGTATGATCCATCCGGCGCAGAGGCACACAAACCTTTGATCCATATTGCGGTCCTGTCTCATTGCGGCAGTCATATCGATATATACGGCCAGTCTCTTGCTATAAATGGTATTATGCGCTGTCTCAGGGAATGGCCACGATTGAACTTGTCAATGTTTTCACTTCAGTTTAGTTTGTCAACTTTGATCTGTACACCGAGATGCGGTTTATCCTTGACACGGGTACCCAAAATTATGATAATGTTAACTTTCTAATGCCAGAGGTGCATTAGGGCGACTCAGCGGTGCGATCACTCCTGTCACTGCCTCGCAGCATCAACTATAACTTGGGGTAGCTATTGAGACACTCCAAACAACTAATCAGTGGATCGCGGTACTCTATCAGCAATGCTCTGCATCCCTCATATAAATCCAAGCATCTATGAACATTACACGAAGAAATGATGCTATTCTCCAAAACAACCGCCTTATTCACCTCTGTCAATTAACAAGTGGCGCAGCGAACTACAGATAACTCCTGAGCCATGATGGGCAATCAATTGGGACGCTGACAACCTGAGTCATATAAAACTTTCCCCGATTTATGCCTCATCTATGGGCAATAAAAGTAGTCCCTTAGGGGTTTCCTGTTTTTGGAATCATTGCGAAGATCGTCATACTGATATCCATCAACCATAAATCACGGGTCCTATATACTAACGACACTTAAGTGACACTAGAATGCAGACTGCGCAAAGGCACTGAACAACGCAATGGGCAGCTCTCGGTTTCTCAATGGAATGAGGGACTGAAAACACACTTGGACGCGTTGGTTACAAGGCAACTGGACTGATAGCTACCCGTCACTGAGAGGATGAGCACACTGATCAATTCCTAAACTTCGACAGCCATCATCCGAAATGTCACAGGGTAAGCCGCATACGAAGTCCTTTTGCAGAGTGAAGTCTCCCTGCAGCATTGCCGAGGAGCGACAGAAGGGAAACACTTACTCGCTCATCTCATACGTTACGAATACGCACTCACTTTCATCCGAAGAGACCTAAATCGCAAGACCGTGAATATCGCACCTGCACCAGCAAAGACGAAATGGCTCGTTGTCGTATTACAATGGAGTATCAGAAATGACTGCGAGACTTTTCAAGCCGCACCAACGGTGGTAGCTCACAAACCAGCCACCACGCTGAAGGCAACCCGGACTAGGCCGAAGGGGAAAGCGAAAACACGTACGTTAAAATGTCGTTTGCAGGATACAGGGTTGCAACGGTCAAAAGCACTAAAACAAGGAGGAAATTAGCTACAGGAATACAAAAGCACAATCTCATTTACTGAAATTGTTATGCATCACCACTTGTCTCAGCACAAGTCGATGATGAACTACACAAATTTGACTGTGACCTAACGAGGAGTGGGTTGCAAGGAGCGACAAGAAGTGGAATGAAAACCATTGAACTTTGGTTTTCTACACGAAATTCAATAATTTTGTGCGTTTGGCTCAATCCTATGTAACAGCAACTGAGAAACAGGATGGAATAGAAACAACAGTCTGGGACAAAAGAGTGTCAACAATCGAACTCGCCTAGGTCACGGGAAGTGTCGACTTTAAAGGTCCCCTGCTCGTCGATCTCGGATCGCTAACTCAATCGGTAATATTTCCCTCTACACATTGAGTCACTGATGAGGTTGACTCCGTTGGTGACGAAGCGTACACAACCATACTGCCCATTTTGGCGGACCAAGCAGCAACTCAACTGCCAACCCGAGCTACCAGAATTCCGCGTCACTGTAAGACAGTCACTGGTCTGCAGGGTTGTAACCTGTATTGGCAGTAAAAGATGTGTCGGATCATCTCGCAGTCGGATTTCATTCCGTGACGATCAGGTATGGTCCACCATGGCTCAGAAGCATATGCTGCTGGCTAGTAATGCAAGCAAGCTGCTAGCAGTCATGGGTTCCATTCCCTGAAGAGAGCCAAGCGAGTGCACACCACTTACGGCTCCCAAGGGTACGAAATGACCGTTTGTTGGTTTTCCGGATTTGTAATTGACATGTCTGGCTTGTGATCTATTTGTGCTAAACTAGATACATCTCACCAATGCTCTCTACACATGAGTAACAGAATCATTGGATGGAATATCCACTTGTCCGAAACCTTGGAACGAATAAATGTGCGGTTCTGACTCCGTGATCAAAGCATATCCGATGAGATTTCCGGATACTTATCTGGCTCGACTGAAGGACCCTATCCGTGATGACAACACGCACAAATCAACATAGCCCTTTGATGGCTTCCCCAAGGCCTATCATTTCATTGACATGTTTCCACCCAACAAGTGAAGCACTGAAAAACAATACAAACGGCGACGTCAGACAGGCAGAGTATATCACCAATTTCGCCAAGGTACTTCGAGTTAAGGAAGTGCTTTCTTGCTGGATATCTATATATTTATATATTTGATATTTCACCCAACCATTTTGTTGCTCATGAGTAGATGGCTTTGGCGAGATGTATCTTGTTTAGCCAAAATAGTTTACAAGCCAGACATGTCAATTACAAATCCGCAAAACCACCAAGTAGTCGTTTCCTCTCCTTGGGACTCATCAGTGGCGGCGTCCGCTTCTGGATTTTCCTGCCAGTGCGACCTCCATAGGACAACCACAGGGCGTCTGCCCCTACAGAGACCATGGGTGGCTTGCGCCGCTCCATCCACACACCCCATATCCAATATAAACCAGAAGGATTAAGACCGAAAGGCATGTGGATGGGAGCCACATTTCATCAACGGAGGTGACCCACACTCTAAGATGCACAACAGCAGCATTCCAGTCAGTCTAATTGATGAATCATGCGTACCAGACGTACATAAGGCGGGGGGTGGGACTATGCCCGCTCCCTATTGGATACATGAAACCACTCTTTAAGCCTAGTAAGGTCACGAGGACGGTGTATCCCGTCCTGCAACGTCATTTCACAGTTTCCTGGAGACAGTAATCTGGGTGGACGGTGTTAGACAGGTAGACGCCTTGTCAACGTTGACATCAAGCGTAACCACATCGGGGATCACAATCAACAAGCATCGCCTGAAATGCAAACACACCAATACGCAGGCACACGTACAGACCAAATGCAACGATGATGTAGTTCACGCACCACATCGACCGCCTTATTGGTCTGGGTTAGTAAAGTGAGTAGGAAGCCTCGCTGGTGATGACTAAATGTTTAGCTTACTCCTCTTCTTCTAGACGTTGGCCCAACGTGGCGACGCAGATGACTTACTAAGCCAGTTTAGCTCTGGCACTCGCTACCGCATGTGCTACGGCACCATACGCTCGATGTCAATGGGATATCCACCAAGGGCGCTTGCCCTTGTAGTTGTAGTAGTGATTTCTCTTGCACCTGGGCCACCACCCTCTTTATATGCTCTCGCCATCAGCGCCGATCTACTGCCATCGACTTCCAGCACCTGAAATCAACATTAGTTTGTGCTAAACTCACTTTGATCATGTCTTGGTAGCCTAACTTCGGTTTTCCCACGTTCCGCTTCCTTGCACGCAGTTGACCATAAAACCGTTTTTTTCGGTATTCTTGTATAATCCATGCGGCGAAAATGCCGGAGCCACCTCAGCTGCCTTAGCTGATGTATGTAGTCCACTGCATACATGCCACTGCGTTGGAGCCCCTCCGTGTCAGCAACTCGGTCACCCCAGTCGATGCGCAGAATTCGACTCAGGCCTTGTTGTTGAAATCGCTCTAAATTTTGGATATCCGATGAAGCGTGCAGATTTCCCTCTCGTATAAACAAATGGACAACACTATAGACTTGTATCACATCAGCTTCTTCCCGACAGCAGGCTGGTGGTTGCTCCACCCACATTTTTCCCGTTTGCCAAATGCGACAGCCACCTTATTCGCGCTTGTCATCTGCAGAGCGGTAGACATTACGGTTTCTAGGCAACAAAATCTCGTAGTGCTTTCCCAAACGTTGTCAAGGTGTACTTGTGGTAAGCCCACGAATCCTACTTCTGGGGAAGGCTGAAAAAGACACAGTCGTGCTTTGTTAATGGTGAGCCGGAATTTGGCCGATGTCGAAGCGACTGCCGAAGTGATGTATTGGATCACATCCGCGCTGTGTGCAAACAATGCAGTCGTCTGTAAGCTGCAACATGCGGATGTTTTTCCCCACAGACTAGGGTTCTTGTCCCGAAACGACAGAGGTTATGCAACCCACCATCAATATGATTCTTCATACATACACTGTAATCACAAGCAGCATCAAATGCACAAGACATCGTATCATTTAGGTAAATAGTAAACCGGACAGGAGCTAAAACAGTCTCGCTTCACACCAGAGAATAACAAAATCACCTGAGATTTGCCCACACAGCTGAGTCATCACCCGTATACCAATGTGCAGACATACAATTAAACTCGGCCAGTCAAACTTGCCCAACACGAGCCACAGTGCCTCGCGGTTCGCCGTAGCAAATGCCTTGGTCTATAAACAACGAGTACAATGGCTGATGTCGCTCTCTGCATTTCTCCTGCAGCTGACGAGCCGCGAACACCGTATCTATGGTTCTACGGCCCGAACGGAATTCACATTATTCTTCCGCAACGTTCGG